GACGCTCTAATTATAACTAATATAATGTATTTGAATATAATGTGTTTGTTATTGTGTTCTCAGGAGTGGATTCTTTGCGGCGGCGAGTTTCATGTCATACCAACAATGTCTGTTCAATTTCGGCAGAACTCCATTCAAATTTCCACCTTTTAGTGCATTTGAAACATTCAATTCAAAGGGTTATCTCTCGGATAGCGATAAAATCATTTTACCCAAGTATGCAGTCATTAGTGATCTATCATTCATGTCATACAATGTATCAAATACTCAATCCCTGTCTTCTTTCAGACACATAAAACTGAAATTTTTGCAGTCGTCGTCCACTCGAGAAGACAGTTGTACTCTTTGTTGTGACGGAACCTCTACTATACAACTCATCCCTTGCCTCCATTCGGTTTGTCTTACATTTGTTTCATTACAATATCTTCATTTTGAAATATGTACTTTTGTGTTATGTTTTCATTAAAATTTTAATCATAGGTTTGTTTAGAAATGAAAAATAATTAATTGATTTAAATATTTACATGATTGCAAATGTACTTTTTATTTTTGTAAACAAACAACATTTCAATGATTTTAGCGTTTGTTCATTAAAAACATTGATGTTTTATAATTAAAATAGAATTTCAATCACTATTGAAGGGAAATGTTATAAATTAAGAGATTTTTATTGCAAAATTTGAGTTGAATTCTCAGAAAGTGCTATTAATTTCAAGGCAAATAAATACAATTTAATTATTTTCATGAAGCGCTCGATTTAAGTTTTATTAGATTTGTGTCATTCCTTTCGTATTACCGGTAATCCTAAAGTTATAATTCATATAATTTTAGCCCTAAAATATCTCTTATTTATTTTGTTAATATTAAACTTAATTTTGATTGATATATATAAAATATCAATAATTATAACATATATTTTTATAAATAATGTAAATGTAAACATATCTAATGCCCGCATTATTTTTTAATTGAATTGAACAGAAAATATGTAGTGACTGTGCCTTACAATTAGACATTTGTCCGTTTTGTCGCTCAGAGATCATCGAAAGGCGTGAAATGAATGCGAGTGAACGCACCGAACGATAAATCAGGGATTCAACAAATTGTTAATATTATTATTGTTACGATATTTTATTTTTATTGATTTGATTTCATTAATATATATAAATATATATACAATATTTTAGGCAAATCTGATCACTATTTTATCATTAAATCTAATTATAAGTTTCATTCATGAATTTAATAATTATTTTTTTAATGTAATATATATGTAATGTATTTATAATTATAAAAACAATATAGTTTAAAAATCATTTTAAAATCTAATCAAATAAATACGAATTTTATGATTTTATAACAAAGCGATAATTAAATGGATATTATTGTAAATAAAATAACAAATAGAGTATAAAAATTCCACACTTTGCCCATCAAAGGATTCTTGTAAATCATTAAAAAGTAATATTTTTAATGCAAAATATTGTGAGATCTGAAAGGATTACAACAATCTTTATAATGAACTCATTTTGTGTGCAATTTGGAGATAATACAGTGCAACTTCTCTATAATGAACGGTCAGTTGCACGACAAAAGTGTTCATTATAGGGAGGGTTCATCCAAGGGAGGTTTGAGTAAAAATGTCTAATTTTCAATCAATAATTAAAATTATATAAAAAATAAGTAATTTTAGTTTGTTTAACTGTATTATAATGAAAATTAAATAATTTAATTTTAATTCTGTCCAATTTTTAAATATTTGAGCATTAGATGCGTCTCTCGATATTAAATAATAATTTATAGTTCACTAATCAGAGAAAGAATACACATTTCTTACAATATTGAATGAAATTTAATATTAAAATGTGTGTTTTGTTTGCGTAAAGTCTTAGATTAGAAACTATTTTGAATACTTTTAGAAATGATGTGCTTATTATTATATTTGTTCATTATTGGGAGTGAAAATTTTATCTAAATCACTATAAATCCGTTCATAATGGGGAGGTATTCATTATGGAGAAGTTCACCTAAGGGAGGTTATTTTAACATTATAAGTATAGGAAATCCAATATAAATTTCAAATCCGTTCATTGTGAGGAGGTGTTCATCCAAGAGAAGTTCACCCAAGAGAAGTTGCACTGTATCATGAATTATATTAGAAATAATGTGAAACATAGAGTCCATCTCTAAGCCCACTCTACGCCCCCTAACAATCGTATTGAATTGGAAATGAAATTATCAGTTGATTCAAAATCTCTTAAGTAAGACCACCAGTGCTTAGAAAGAATGAATATATTATACAACTTTAGACAACTTCTACAGCACTTATGATACAAGTCTTCCAACTTTTTTCAATTGAATTTCGCCAAAACATTAGAAATGCCCTCAAGTTATACAAAACACATGAATTAAATGTTTGAAATAATGCTTATATTTATTGCATTTTTGAATATTATAATAATAAGATGTAAACGCTTTACAATATTTTGAATTTTATTCACTAAATATTTGTGTTATTTTTTAAACTATTCATACTCTAAAATAGTTAAACAATTATTGTTACAACGATTAATTTGAGAAATATAATTAATTAAATTTCGAGAGAAAAATAAATAATTTTAATCTTTAAATAAATGCATTTAAAAAGAGTTCTTCTGTTAAATGCATTTTATCTAATGATAAATTAGAAACAAATATTAATAATAAATTTTACTAATTGTTGCGAAAAGTAATGAATTCTCAGGAATTTGTGAATTTAAACTCAAGTTTTTAGGAGTAATTCGTAAATGTTTTGCTCTCTCTCTCTCTCTCTCTCTCTCTCTCTCTCTCTCNAGGTGGAAATTTGAATGGAGTTCTGCCGAAATTGAACAGACATTGTTGGTATGACATGAAACTCGCCGCCGCAAAGAATCCACTCCTGAGAACACAATAACAAACACATTATATTCAAATACATTATATTAGTTATAATTAGAGCGTCAATTTTTCGGCAATAAAAATCTACAAATTCTAGAGTATACATGGTCAAAATCGGGAAAATTGGTGAATTAAGTTTTCATTGAATTCTGACACTATAATTATGTATTTAAATTATTTTAAAAGGGATTGTTTACACTGATAATGCAAAATAATGACATTTATTCAGGGGTAATATTTGACAAGCAATTAGAATTTTTGTCTATACTGTCAATAAACTTAATACGGTATATACGATAAATTTACCACAGATAATATTAATTTTGCAGCATGTTTTAATATTCATTAAACAAATTCATTAAGATTTTGAGCATTTTTAAAGTTTTTTTAAAGTGCACATTCGGGATTATTTTTAACAAAAATAGGCTTTTCGGGAGTTTTCCATAAAATATGCCAAATTCGGGAAAATAAAACTCATATTTTGAGCCTATTATGATCCCCAAACTTAATGATATGTAATTCCCGATGTTCTATTAACTTATTTTATTCGGGAATTCCCGAAGATTCGACGCTATAGTTATAATCAATGTATTTAATCATTCATATGAAAGAGTGTAACGAATTATAACATACTTTGCATTCTTAAACACATGTTTGCACGGCTCTAACGGAATGCCATTCAAATAAAATATAATGTGTTCGCTATTAAGATCTAAAAGACAGCCCAAAACATCTCCTATTTATAGTGACATTTAAAACAATAAATTAATACAAGAGTTAAATGACATTTAAAAATGCATTCAAACCGGGTTTCCAACACTTGTGCCGATGAGGAAAACTGGAGGCGTTGTACCAAATCAATTGTCTGCACCCGTCGTAAGCAATCGAGTACTCGTCATCGCCGATGCCATAGCCCTCGTGGTTAAGAAATTTGCTATCTTTGGTCGCCCAAC